GAGAGCCTAGATATTAAGCCAAACATATAGGTCAATTAATATTTGATAAAGGAGCCATGGACATACAATGGGGAAATGACAGCCTCTTCAACAGCTGGTGTTGGCAACACTGGACAACTACATGTAAGAGAATGAAACTGGATCATTGTCTAACCCCATACACAAAAGTATGTTTGAAATGGATCAAAGACCTGAATGTAAGTCATGAAACCATCAAACTCTTAGAAAAAAACATAGGCAAAAATCTACTGGACATAAATGTGAGCAGCTTCTTCATGAACATATCTGCCCGGGAAAGGGAAACAAAAGCAAAAATGAACAAGTGGGTCTATTTCAAGCTGAAAAGCTTCTGTCCAGCACAGGACACCACCAATAGAACAAAAAGGCATCCTACAGTATGGGAGAATATATTCATAAATGACAGATCTGATAAAGGGTTGACATCCAAAATACATGAAGAGCTCATGCACCTCAACAAACAAAAAGCAAATAATCCAATTAAAAAATGGGCAGAGGATCTGAACAGACAGTTCTCCAAAGAAGAAATTCAGATGGCTAACAGACACATGAAAGATGCTCCACATTGCTAATCATCAGAGAAATGCAAAATAAAACCACAATAAGATATCACATCACCCCGTTAAGGATGGCCACCATCCAAAAGTCCAACAACAACAAATGTTGGTGAGGTTGTGGAGAAAGGGGAACCCTCCTACACTGCTGGTGGGAATGTAAATTAGTTCAACCATTGTGGAAAGCAGTATGGAGGTTCCTCAGAAAACTCAAAATAGGAATACCATTTGATCCAGGAATTCCAATTCTAGGAGTTTACCCTAAGAATGCAGCAGCCCAATTTGAAAAAGACAGATGCACCCCTATGTTTATCACAGCACTATTTGCAATAGCCAAGAAATGGAAGTAACCTAAATGTCCATCAGTAGATGAATGGATAAAGAAAATGTGCTACATATAGACAATGGAATATTATTCAGCCATAAGAAGATAACAAATCCTACCACTTGCAACAACATGGATGGAGCTAGAGGGTATTATGCTCAGTGAAATAAGCCAGGTGGAGAAAGACAAGTACCAAATGATTTCACTCATCTGTGAAGTATAAGAACAAAGAAAAAACTGAAGGAGCAAACAGCAGCAGACTCCCAGAACCCAAGAATGGACTAACAGTTACCAAAGGGAAAGGGACTGGGGAGGATGGGAGAGGAGGGAGGCATAAGGGGGAGGGGGAAGAAAAGGGGCATTATGATTAGCATCTATAATGTGGGGAGGAGGGTACAGGGGGTCTGTACAACACGGAGAAGACAAGTAGTGATTCTACAGCTGCTTACTATGCTTATGGACAGTGACTGTAAATAGGTTATGTAGGGGGCACTTGGTGATGGGGGAGTCTAGTAAACATAATGTTCCTCATCTAATTGTAGATTAATGATACCAAAAAAGAAAAAAACAGACAGTGTCTTCTATCTGGTGTTTTATGTTCTGGGTTTTAATCTGGTGTGTTCAGTTTAAGACAATTCACTGAGACATCCAGCTGTGGGATGTGTACTTTTCTATATTTATGTTATACTTTAATTAAAAGTTAGAAAAAAAGTCAATGTGACATCTTCTCTACCCAATGCAGACAACTTCTTTTTTCTTTCAAGTGTTTTGCGTTTCTGTAGGATATTAGTTCAGATGTCACAACAAAGAACTGGGCCAGTGGTATTCCTTGATGTGAAGGGAGAGTCAGGTGAAAAAGCCTCAGAGAAGTGTGAATGGGATTGCCTGGTCTGCTGAATGGGGCCGGGGAGGCCAGCCCTGGTGGATAGACTTGCAGTGACCTGTGCTTCAGTCCCAGGGACCACATGCTAACCGCCAGTGAGCTTTCCACCCGCCTGCAGTGATAGGGTGACTTCATGTCCAATGTGACTGTGAATAATGCATAAATGTGGTTATCTGGAAATTTGTGGTCATTAGCATTTTAATAAAAAAAAACGCAGCCATTATCCTAAATCTCTATTTTGTTCCTACTTTTTTTTTCTCTGTCCCCCAGCTAACCGTCTCAGTCTTTCCTGAGTGCTTGGAAACCACCGGGTCCCCTGCTGATGTGCTGACTGGCCGCTATGGGCATACGGTATCCGGAGGCTCACTGTCATCCATGCAGCTTGTGTATGTATGGAGCTGGTCTCTCTATTCTCCCCTTTAATTTTCATTGTAGAATACTGCAGGGTACTGGACTAGTGAAGGTTTATAAGATTTAAATGAGAGTGTTTAGAAATGCAAGAGAATGGACTGCTCTAGGGTACGTTTTTAATATTGAATGATGAGGCATTATTTAAATTAGGATTTTTATAATCCATTGACCCTGTAACACCAGCAGTGCATATCAGCAATCTCCCTTTTCTGATTAAATACATCCACTCATATATGTTTTTTTTTTTTAAGGCTTTCCTTTCTCATCACAACATACGACATTTGGAACAACAGCAGTGTCATAAATGAAAAACATTCCCCACAGATTGTTTTAATTCTGTTGAAATAAAAATAATTCATGGACCCAGAAGAGAGGTCCTCTGCATATGTTATTATTGAAAAGGTTTTAGGGAGAGAGTCCCTGACTCTTATTTTTAACTAATCTCCAAAAGAGGAAATGCTTGACTCCCTCGGTGATGACCGGGTCTCACAACACTTCAGTCTTTCCAATAATAGTCTTCTGGGAATGACTACAATTGCAGCTTTTTCCTATTTGTCTCTACCTCTGATTAACTTAAGAGAAAAATGAATATTGCCCATTTAACGATCTCTCTTATTTTTATAAAGAAGGGTTTGTCCCAAACTTATTTTTTGCCTCCTTTAGTCTTCTAGCTTTGAGCCAGCTGTTTAGATATTTGTTTTTGTTGCTTCCCTGTGGACCTCTGGAATTTTGGCTTCAAATCAGGGATATGTTAGGGTCATTCCCCAGAGTGCCTTTGCTCTCATAACCTTCCCTGAGTTATGTTTGGTTATATTCACCTTTAAGTCCCACTATCTTCTACGTCTCAGTTTTTACTTCATAGGAAAGTTAGAACCACCCTCAAACTTTCACCTGGACAGTTGCTTTTAAAAATAAGCCAGGGCTTTAGAAGCAGCCATGGAGGGGAGAGTTGACAAGATGGGGGTTCAGACCGACCACCAGCTAAGGCCCATGGGGTGGGAGAAACAGCTTTTACATATATACGTTAGTATTCTCCCAGGGCATTACTATATTACTCTAAAATCAGCAGTTTTCTTCGTAAACATAATCAGACAAAGCTTACCCTTGTTTACTGTAAAATAGAGGTCAGTAAACTGTGCCCCATGGGCTAAATCCAGCCCTTGCCAGTTTTTCTTGGAGCTAACAACAGTTTTTATAGTTTTAAATGGTTGTGTACACACCTACACCATCTCAAGTTGCCTCTTGGCTCTCAGAGCCTAAAATATCTACAGTCTGGCCTGTTAAGAGAAAGTTTGCCTATCTTGCCATAAAGAAGTTGAAAGCCATGTCCTGTGATTGAACCACATGACATTGTCATTATTTGATGAGTTTTGACCTGCAGAAATGCACTTTCTATATGGCTTAATCTAATAACATTTCAAGGAAATTCTTCTTTCAGAATGATTAAAAATGTTAAAATTTGGGTTCATAGGGTGGAAACTGTAAATTTACATGAAAAATTTCCGTATGTGGACCTGCTCATTTTTCGCCATCTTGATGAATGAGTCATTGTACCTCTCTGGGGCTTTGCACATGACTCTGAGCTGCAAAGTCTTGTGCTGTCATGTAGTTGAAAGAAAGCACTTCTTCGTCACCTGACTTGTTTCTTATGAAGGGTTCTCCAGGAGAAAACTGTCTTCTACCCTTCCTAGGTGCCAGGAATGTACAAGCTCTCCCCAGAGGTCTCTGCTGAGCATGTCTTGTGCCTCTTTTCTGGTGGGAAGGAGGACAAGTGGCTGCCTTCTCCAGCAGGCATGTGTGATGGTCCCTTGGCCTGCAGTGTGTTGTCATAACATATTGTTTGAAACATCCTCCCCTGGAACTAGAATGTGTTTCTCACCCTTTTGTGCTTTCTGTCTCCTTTTTCAGTATTGTTGATCCCTTCGTCCAGTGCATTAAAGCAGTCCTTTATTTTATGTGGTTTGTTTTCCACTCTCCCCCTTCCCCACTTGTACTCCCTTCTCCTGATTATTTAATAAGATTTGCTGTTGAAACCTCCGATGGACATTCTTTAGTGGCCATTCTTAGTGGTAGGAAAATTGACCACAGCTGCTTTGTCTTCTGTCACCTAAGGCAAGTTATTTAAGATGACTGGGGGCCTAGGTCTGAATAGGGCCACACTGTTCTCTGGAGAAGGAAAACTATTTCAGAAAAAAAAAATTCTCTGGAGTTTATAATTTTGTCATTAGGTGTGGTCAGAACCATCAGTCAAAGGTTGGTAGTACACACTGCTGCATTCTGAGTATTTTTTGAAGCTCATATATAAACACACTGGAGTTTTAGATTTTCATTCTTTCTGCTTTGGAGTGATTGTTCTGCCTTTTAAGGCTATCTTCTTTCAGGACAGGATGCCTTCTTTGGTGGAATGTGGATTGGCATCCATTGAGCACCAAAATAAGAAGCTAATAGCTAGAACTGACCTTTCCAGTTTTTTCCTACAGATATTTGCTTGTGTTAAGACTGGAGTTTGCTTGTGTTAAGACTGGAGTTTTAAAATTCTCCTGGGAATTGCTAATGAGAGTGCATCCTTGTTTATTTTCATTTGTATCTATTTGCTCCTTTGCATGACTAGAGCCACTGCCCTAGCTCCAGCTGTTAGGATCTGGACTGTTGCAATAGTCTCCTGACCTCTGGCTTAAAGTGTCTTTCCCTGCAGATTTGACTCATGTATAGCAACCAACTTAATCGAATGGAAGCACAGCCCTGATCATGTCGCTTCCCTGCAGAGAGTGTTTGGTGTATCCACACCAGTCCAGAAGGTCACCCTGACATGAGTCCTCTGCGTTTTCTTTCACTCCTTATTTCAATGTCCATTACTCCTTGTTCATAATTGTTACTGCTGCCTTCAGCATGTTCCTCCTCCATAGCTATCTCACACTAGCCTCAGTGGTCTGCTCTTGCCAAGACATGCCCTTTGCCTGTAGGTCACTGTGCTTTGCACCTGCCGTTCCCTCTGGAACACAGATCCATCTTTTGACAGCCTGCTGGAACCCTGCTCTGGCTGTAGGGTACTGCAGAGTTGTCCTCTTTCCCAGGGAGTTTGCCTAGTTGCTCAGCTAGAAGCATGTATTCTTGTCACTCTTAAATCTCCGTCCTTGAGCTTGTGGCCCAAATGACTCATTTTGAGGAGTGTGTATACTCTGAACTTTTACACTAAATGCATTTTCATTTCCCTCCTCTCCTCTGTGTGTGAGAATGGTGCTATACTTACAGTAGATGCTCAAATATTTGTGGGATCACCTGGGCTTAGGGGTTGGGTTGGATAATGATTGTCCTCAGGAAGCCCCTGCAAAGCATTTTCCAGAGCACCTGACAAAGCCTGTGCAGGCCAAGGCCATGGGGTGCCAGGGCAGCCCCTGTGCCGCTCCCTGACCCGTCTCTCCTTCCGCCTTTCCTTCTCTCTCACTTAGGGGTGTGGCCTCCTTTCTGCACTTAAAGAATTGCCATTTAAAAAGTTTAAATAGAAACAGGCACACACGAAGATTTCTTTTGGCCTCCCCTCCTGGACTTCCTCGCTTGCACTGATGAAAGGCATTCGTTTGGTTGTAGGTACTGCTCTACTCCACATGCTGTGTATTAAATTTACTATAAGTATTTCACTTCCAAAGGGGTGAACTTTGAAAGGCCATTTTATTACCCCCATTTCACAGATGGGAAAACTGAGGCTTGAAATAACAAAGTAAGTTGTCAGAGCAGAGTTGCCATTTGAACCTAGGTTTATGTGCCCGCCCAACCCCATGTATGTTCTTTCCTACCACCAGGCTGACTTGTGATCTGTGATCACTTGTTTAGGTGATGTGCACTCATCTGCTGTCCCTACCAGGGCTCTGGGTAATATGGCTCTAAAAGGCCTAAAAGATTCAGTATCAAAGGATGCTGACATCTGTCTCTATCCAAATAAACCCAGTCACCACAAATAACATGAAGGCCTTAGGAAAGCATATAATAAGAGTAATCATAATAAATACAACAATGGTAAAAGCACTTTTAAAAAATCATGCACATAATCCCTGTTTAATATAGAAAATTTTAAAAATAAAGAAAATAAGTTCTCAAAATATGACATACCAAGAGAGAATGCCTTTTTAACCTTATCTTGAATACCCTTTTGTACTTCAAAAGTTCTCTCAATATATTTATTTATTCTGTTTATTTACAGAAATGGGACCATGTTGTACATGGTGTTTACTCAACAAAATATCATAAATACCTCTCTAGACCAGTATGTTTACTTTCAGAGCAACTCAAAAGCAGCTGTGGCCTGTGGCTGACTGACTGACATGATATGCTAGGAGGCAGTAAAAACAGTTGGGTGCATGAAGGCTGATGCACCTTGCTATGAAGAGCAACTTTTACCATGGTGGAAAAAATGCTGGTCAGGACTCAGTGAACTGATTTGCACCATTCATTCATGGGTCTCAACTCTCAGTTTGAAAAGCACTGATCTAGAAATCACACAAAAATGGAAAGTGCGCTTGGCAGTATCAGGGTTTTCAGGGGCAGGGGTGAGGGTGGTAGAGGGGGTCTGAATTCAGCCTCCATGGGAGGAATTTGGAATTTGAATTAAGATCAGGAGCCCAGGAACAGTGCTCAAGATCATTAACAACCAAGTGGGTCTCACTGCCCAGAACAGCCAGGATGTGACGTGCTATCCCAAGAGAGGGGCTTTCTGCTCTGGCTGTAATAGGTTTTCCTGGTGTGGGAGGAAGTTCCTGCAGGGTTGTCCAGATGCGGGTGATCACAGCTCAGGAGCCCCTGGGAGTCTTACAGTTTTAGTAATAAGATTCCCTAAATGAAGAGTGGATAAGGGAGCTGGGAAAGGTTAAAGGCAACAAGATTTACAAAATAACACTGATTAGATTTTTCTTCTGTCAAAGGAAATAAAAAGTGACCTGTTTATTTTAGAAAATGCATAAACACCAAAAAACACAAAGAA